TTGGGCATAGTTGCAACCAATAACTACAATTAGTATACTGACAAGCCAGGATAGATGATCGGTCGATGCCCATTAGTTATCGGACAAGTCTCCAATTAACATTAACGGCAATGTCGGAGCTACCCATCCCCTTTTACTTCACTTGCCAGGACTTGCACAACTTTGAAACTGCCAATTTTAGCATAAATTTACTACATTAGGAACTTTCATACGTAGCGCACTGTGTTCAACGTGAACGAACTTATAGTGCCCCCATCGGAAAGTCAGCTTTTAAATAATTATAAAGATTTCGTATATAAAAATATACTTTAGTCAAAATATCAATTGAACTTTGATGGTATACAAGGCAAATATCAAACACAGTAATTAATTAAATCTTGCCCAAGTACTTTCGATCAATAGATCATCCTCAGGGGCATTTCAAATATCAGGGTTTTTTTTTAATGGCCTTGGCATAGCCAATTGACCAGACTGTTTTGTAATTTGTATTCACAGAAAACAATCAGAGTTCGAGTTAGTACTAAATGTAAGTTAAAAATAAATTAAATAATTGAGTTGTTTTGATTTTTCTTTTTTTGTTTGTTTGTGATTTTTTTTTTATTTTTTTTTTTATTTCTTATATATTTTTTATTTGATTTTTTTATTTCCTTGTATTACTTTTTTGATATTGTATATAATATGTATATATATTTTTTATTTTGTTTTGGTCTTTTTTTATATTAATTTGGTTTGGCCTATTTTTTTTTATTTATTTGTTTTTTTTGTCTCCTTTTTTCCATTTTTTTTTCATTTTTTCGTATTAAAAGGTTTATTACATAATTGATATGTTCGCAAATTGCTTACAAATTTGATCTTAATTCTAGGGTTAGTACATTATATTGTTTAAAGTTTATATTTACAATTTCTTATTAATTGATAAATACAATTATAAATTTCTAAGTTTCCAGAGAAAATGAATTCATTTATGTGAAATGGGAAACACACATTTAGTTTTCGTAAGTTTTCATAAAAACATGTAATATTCCCTTGTTGGTTTCCACATTCCAATAGGATATGTGTTAAATCTCCATATTTATCACAAGTACAGTTTGGAGTGTCTGCTAGATCCATTTTGTACATTCTTGAAGGTGTTAGAGCATGATTTGACCTTAGCCTATTTATAGTTTTAATAAAACTTCTGTTGGACTCTGAATAAAACCACCTTTTTTTAAGAAGTGTGGGTTGCCAATATTTAAATGATGACTGTCTTTCGGATTCCGCATAATTGGCTTGCCATTTTAATTTAAGCCGTTGTTTACTATATACATCTATATCTAACACCGGTAGAATATTGTTGACTGTGGTTTCTCCGCTTGATAATGCTTCTTTTGCCAATACATCTGCTATTATATTACCCTTTATCCCAGAATGGCCTTTGATCCATGCGATAATAACTTCTCCTCCGAGCTTTGAAACCTCGTAGTACAATTTTAATATCTCTATATCAAGATGAGTCAATTGCTTGGATTTATTTGTTTCACAAATATCAGGGTTAAAATATCAATTTACAATTCATAACATAAACATACTCTGGGCCAAAATTAACCGGCCACCTTAAAAATGGGTAATTTTTCATGTCTTATATCTCCTAAACCTGTGGTCCGATTTAAGTGATTTTTTTAATATGTTATAGCCTTTTTCCTTGACAATATCGTTATAATAATATGGTTGCTTAATATGTAATTTTTCATTGTATACCGGGTGTACGAATCAAACTGTGTTTTTTTCTTAAGGTTTGCATCACTGTGGAATTGTGGAATATTCTAGCATTGATGTCTAATATTCTGTGTCTGTTTCTATCTTCTAAACTTTGGGATACCTGTTTCCGTTTGTTTCCAGCGACTTCTTTTAACATCCGTACAGAGATGCAGAGATATAAATCAAAATGTGTACATTTGTGCAATCGATTTTGCAAAGGCTTTTGACAAAGTCCGACATAACAAAATGCTAGAAATATTGGAGACAGCTGGATTGGACGATAAAGATCTACGAATCATTACAAGTCTATACTGGCATCAAGTGGCAAGAATAAAGGTTGAACAAGAACTGTCGGATGAAATAAATATAAAAACAGGAGTGAGACAAGGCTGTATATTGTCGCCTTTACTTTTTAACTTATATTCGGAGGAAATATTTAAGGAAGCCTTAATGGAGACAACCGAAGGTATTATTGTGAATGGAGTAACCGTCAACAATATTAGATATGCCGACGATACCTTAGTCCTTGCTAATTGCGGAGAAGACCTTCAAAATCTAATGAACAAAATAAAACAGACTTGTGATCAGTATGGATTAAAACTCAACGTTAAACAAAATTATATACAGGATGACGGTATAAAAGTCGGAGATGCCACATGGACAGAGTAGAGAAACTCGTTTAAAACTCAACGTTAAACAAAATTATATACAGGATGACGGTATAAAAGTCGGAGATGCCACATGGACAGAGTAGAGAAACTCGTGTATCTCGACAGTAATATCAATGAGACCTGGGATCCAACCGCAGAAATTAAAAGCCGAATAGAACAAGCCCAGGTGCCTTTGTAAAAATGAGAAACGTACTTTGCAGTCACGATCTTAGCATTAACCTTCTTGCTACATCTTTCCTGTCCTGCTGTATGGAGTGGAAGCGTGGACTCTAACTGAGGCTATGCTTAAACGCTTGACGGCCTTTAAGATGTGGGTATACAGACGACTACTGAAAATAAGCTGGGTCGACATAGTTAGAAATGAGGAGGTCCTTACACGGCTGAACCAAACAACACAACTGGTCAATATAATAAAGAAACGCAAGGTGTAATACTTCGGTCACATTATGAGATACCCTGAAAAATATGATCTTTTACATCTGATCATTCAGGGAAAGATCCAAGGTAATCTTGGTCCTGGTAGAAGAAGAACATCATGGCTGAAAAATCTAAGGCAGTGGTATGGAAAATCCACTACATCGTTATTTAGAGCTGCTGTCAATAAAGTCACGATAGCGAATATCGTAGCCAACCTGATATCCAACGATCGATAACGGTCATGGAACTAGAAGGATAGTTCGATACACGTATGTTCTGTGTATCGAATTTAATGTGATCTCTCCAATAATCTATAACCTAAGAGACAATTCGACTGGAAGACGAATTGGCCGATTTCATGTAAGTATCTTTCAAAAAATCTCTTTAAACCAATAAAACTTACAGATCATATTCATGATTATTGTTTACCAAAAAAAGGAATCAACTTTGTTTTGAGCGTAACTTGCTTACATTTGATGCTAGAAACTTTTTTAAAAATCAAAAATAAAGATTTCTTTAAACAATTTAAAAAAAAAAGTAAAAAAACATTTTTTTGATTATTTCAGGTTGAATTATTCGATATGGAATTTGACGAATAGGTAAGAATCTATTTTTCATTAGCTAAAACTCTGCTTCTGCTGGGTATACAGACTTCATACATATACCATTGTTTTCACTTTTTTATAAACTGTATTTTTGCTACGAACATTTTTTCCATAAAATACTTACCTTTTGAGTTATTTGCGAGAAATCGGCCAAAAACGTGGTGTTTTTGTTGAAAAATAAATATATTCACTCGCAAATAACTCGAAAAGTATTGATTTAGTAAAAACCTCTATAGAACAAAAGTTGCCTAGAATTAGTCAGTTTATCCACTTCCGGACTTATTTTGGATGTATATCTTTTCACCCCCGAGAAGGTGCGGTGCCAACCCCCAGGGCAAAAATACACATCGGCACAATCTCACTTTTTTTCTTTGACACGTTAGCTATATGTGTATGCCAAATTTCATGTCAATCCCAGTGGTTCTTTAAAATTTAGAGATTTTCACAATATTTTACCGTTAGTGAATGGACTATGTGTATTAACTTTTAATCATCTTTGGTGTCAAGTTCATAAAGAAATGTGAATAATTAACAATATTATTACTGTTTAACAAAATATTAGCCCTTAATTTAAAAATAAAAGTTTATTATTTAATTTCTATTGCGCCGCCTACGTTTTAGAAAAGACGCCGACACTTGAGTGTCGAATTTGGTTTTATACTTGTTCAACTGACATCGTAGAAACTATACAGTTTAATAAAAGTACATTTCCAGTAGTTTTTCTTCTAAAACAAGAAGAAGATAAGATAATATTCTTATAAAAAGAACAATTACACAAATTTGTTTACTGAAAATACAGAAGAAAATATATAGCCCGATAATCATATTAGTCCTGTGTTCAATAATGAAACCCTTCATCAAAATAAATTATTCAAGTCAATATAGTATCATTTAACAATTTGTACGGGACAATATATCCTTTTTATCAGCTAAAACAATTTTGTAGTTTAAAATTGGTGCAAATACGGCCGACAATTTATTTCAAATATTTAAACGTATTTAACGGCAAGCTTTCCCGCTCCGCCACCAACATTTAATATCAGTAAAACCGAAAATATCAGACCAACCCGAATTGCTGTCATATCGCGGCTTCGAGGATTTCACACCACTAACTACCTACTAAAAAGGTGTAGAATTATGGCGACAACGATACACACCAGATTTATAGATGTGGAGATAATGTAATTTATCAACACTAAATTTTAACTCGGCGTTAGTTGTATGATTTGGTGAAATTAATTCAGTATGTAAATATTTTACAGCGTAAAATGTGATTTTATTTCACATACGATAATGTAATCTGAAATAACAAACTCCTCGTGAAACTATATGTTAATTTTACTTTGATATGCATACGATAGACTAGATTAGTAGTAAATTTAACATTTTAAGTTATTTATTTTTGATTAAAAATCTTTTCAATATTAGATTATTTTCAAAATACCTAGTCACAAACTATATTTCTTATTTTTTTGTATTACAGTATTGTGCGAATTAATGGAATCATAGACTGTTTAAATGAAAAAACAGTTTATTTAGTAAAAAAACTATAAAGGTAAACTTACATCATTCAGTAGGAAATATGTCTCCTTTTGGCAGCAATTATTGCTTTTACCCGTTTTGGCATAGATTCTATGAGTTTCTGGCAGTTGTCAGATATCCTTTCATCTCGATACCAAACCTGAATGGCCGCTTCTATCATTTTTGTTTTAGTGGTACAGTCGATTTTTCGCAGTCTAGCTTTGCAAATGGCCCATAAATTTTCAAAGTGGTTGAGGTCGGGCGAATTACCGGGTAAATCTAAAACATTAATCTTCTTATCTTTGAAGAATGCCATCATTTCATTTGATTTGTGACAGGGAGCAGAGTCCTGTTGAAGAATCGCTCCTCCTTGGGGTTGACTTTTTTGGAGTTGTTTGTCCAAATACTTTTCCAACATGGATTTGTATTTTTGGCTGCTCATCATGCCTTCAATTGGCACCAAAGATCCAACTCCCATGTATGAAAAACATCCCCAAAACATTTTCTTGACTGGATGTTTTACGGTTTGATCAATATGAGACAGTGTAAGCTTTTCATTGTCAGACTTCCTAACGAATTTCGACCGCTGTCCCTGAACTATAAAGTGAGTTGCATCTGTAAATAGGACTTTTTTCCACTCGCCTACAGTCCAATTAGAGTATTTTTTGGCCCACAGTAGCCTTTGTTTCTTCATTCGTTCAGTTAGAAGCTGTTTTTTCTGTGGACGAATTGCCCTTCTACCATTCTCCAAAAGTCTTCTACGAACAGTTGAGTCATGAATCACTATAGCTGATGCTGCTAGATCTTGTTGTAGGTCTTGGCTTGATTTTCTTGGGTCCAATTTGCTCTTTCGAAGTAAAAATCTATCATCTGCTGGTGTTGTTTATCTCTTTCTTCCACATTTTCCTAACCTTTTCACATCCACTGATCCCGTTTCTCGTTTACGCTTCAAAATTTTGCTAACTACCCCCTGACTCACTCCACACGTTCTAGTAATCTCTCTTTGTGACATACTAGTGTGTTCACTCAACGTGGCAATCTTTTCACGCTTCCTAGGCGTAATATCCATGTTGGAATAAAACCAAAAACAACACAAAATAGTACAAAAACCCCCAAAACAACACAAGCTTGGTAAGAAATGACCTAAAACACACTCAAACACACCAACACACAGTAAGGTTATGTTTTCAATGCTTGGTCAGCTGTCAACTGTGTAGGTAGTGTTGCCAACTGTGAATATTGAAAAAAAATTCACAGTGATTCCATTAATTCGCACAATACTGTAGATAGTTCTATTCATGTATTTATTTATGACATACTGTATTTTATTAACACTATTGTTGAAAAGTGAGAAATTCATCTTAATAGATAGAGAATAGAAGGACAAACATAGACTCAGATGATTTCCTAGTGATACCTATCAACATTGAGGGCTAGAATTTCAAACACCAGTAAACAAAATAAAATGTATAAAAAACATTTGGATGTGCAAAAGCTGAGAGATGCGACAATTGCAGAACGTTACTTGGACAACATCACCAACAGACTAAGGAATCAAAATGTAAATGAAGAAGACCAGACTCCTACTGGACCAGAATAAAAATTGAAGCAACAGCGAAAAATGAAATAGAAACAGAAATTTGTGAGTTTTTTATCTCTAGGCATGAAAACCTCATGGGTCAGAGACATGAAAGCATAACTTGATAGTTAGAAAAATCTTCTTCTTACGGTGCCTTCTCCTTAAGGACGTCGGACATTACATTTACTCATTTAATCTTATTTGTAGCAGCCCTGAATAGTTCTATGGAGGTCAGGTTCGTCCATTGCCGTAGGTTTTTAAGCCAAGAGTTGCGTCTTCTTCCTGGTCCTCTTTTGCTATTGACTTTGCCTTCGATTATAAGTTGAAGCAGTTTATACTTTTGATTTCTTATGACGTGACCAAAATATTGTGTTTTCCTTTCTTTTATTATAAGCATAAGCTCTCTTTCCTTATTTATCCTCCGCAAGACTTCCGCATTTGTCGTATGGCTCATGTAGGATATTCTGAGCATTTTTCGGTAACACCAGAGTTCGAATGCTTGGATTCTTTTTTGTGTTGCTTCTGTCATTGTCCAGGTTTCAACACCATAGAACAAGGTGGAGAGAACATAACACTTAAGTATTCCAGTTTTCAATGAGATGCCCAGCTGGCGGTTGCATAGAACTTTTTGCATTTTGTAAAACATTGTACGTGCCTTTTCCAGGCGTATTCTTATCTCTAGTGAGTGGTCCCAAGTTTCATCAAGATTACTTCCAAGGTACGTTGTTCTTGTTACTCTTTCCAGATCTGTTCCGTCGACATTGACCTTCATCCTTTTGTTTTGGTGCTTGCTGATGACCATCGTTTTTGTCTTCTTTGTATTCAATTTCATTACAAATTCTCTACAGGCTGTCCTTACTCGGTCCATTAAGCGTTGCAGGGCTTCAGCATTATCTGCTAGTATGACAGTGTTATTAGCATATCGCAGGTTATTTATACATTGCCCGTTTATAATTATACCATCCGAGGTGCCTTCCAAAGCTTTCTGAAATATCTTCTCAGAGTAAACATTGAACAGCAAAGGTGCTAGGACACATCCCTGTCTTACTCCCTTCTCGATATTAATTTTTCCAGATGTTTCGCTTTTTATTCTGATATTAGCTTTTTTGTTCTTGGTAGAGGTTTGAAATGATCCTTAAGTCTTTATCGTCGATACTACATGACCTTAAAATATCTATTAGTTTATCATGTTTCACCAGGTCAAGCACCTATTGAAAGTCTATTAAACACAAGTATACATCAAAATCGACATCTCTACATCTTTCAACTAGCACACGTATTAAAAAAAAGTGCTTCTCTTGTTCCGAACCCATTCTTAAAACCAAACTGAGTTTGACCAGTGTGTTCTAGTCTAGTCTAGTCTAGGTCTAGTTTATTGTATACTCTATTGTGTATTACTCGTAGAAAAAGCTTCAACATATGATTCATCTGGCTAATAATCCTATGGTCTTCACATTTCTTGGAGTTTCTCTTCTTTGGTAGCGATGTCAGCCAATCATTTGGTATTACGCCTGTTTCGTATATTGTGTTAAATATATCTTCCATTACTTCGATGTGTTTGTCTAGTAATATCTTTATTATTTCAATTGGGATATTATTTTTCCCAACAGCTTTTTCGTTCTTAATCTGATTTGCCGCTTTGATAATTTCTTGCATTGTGATATAAGGTCTAGTCGATGAATCCTGCATGTAAATGTTCGTCCTCTCTCGGTCTTGAAACATCTCTTCCACGTATTCTCTCCATCTACCTATTTGATCTTCTATGTTCAGTAGCGGGTTTCCATGTTTATCTTCGATGAAAGACGTAGGAGTTTGTTTAAATATTCCAGCGGCTTCTTTTACTTTTTTATGTAGATTGAAAGTATCATGTCTTTGTTCCAACTCCTCAATTTCTTGGCATCTTTCACTTAGCCAGGTTTCTTTGGCTTGTTGGATCTTTATTCTGATATTCTTGTATATTAGCTTGTATGTTGTCTCATTTTTACCTCTGTATTTTCTTCTTTCGTCATCCATTTTCGCCATCCCAGTATATCGATATCTAGTCTTTCCATTTCTTGAATTAAATTTGCGGCCTTTTCCTCTTCATATAGACTTCTCACATTCCATGTGCCTATTCTTTTTGTTTTCCTCCGGGGGATTCTTAGTACCCTCTCCTCATTTAAGAGGTGCCCGGGACTGAGGGCCGTTGTTTTAGGTTCCATGAGCATTATGTAATTTTGCTGGGGAAATATTAGTGTAGTGGTTTCCCTTTGCCTTCTACACCGCTGTACATGTGCCGCTTCTGTGAATGTCACCACGCCACATGCTGTCTAATTCACAGCCATTTCAGTCTGCCTGTGGTTAGTGTTGGATCAGCCAGTTGCCACTTTCCACTGCTAGTTTTATACAATCCCTAAAACCATTGGGCTGCCACCTCCGCTCTCCAGACCGTTGTGAACACCTTCTCCTCCGCCCTGGATACCGTTGTGGACTTCGAGTTAGAAAAAGTTAGAGTTAGAGTTAGAAAAATAAGAAAGATTTTCTTAATAGCATAAATGTCAAAATAATACGAAAACCATTATTATTTCTAAAATAAAAAGCTTTTAAACTGATATAAGTAACTGATTCTACAGTATTATAGGGTATACAGATACACTGTGTATAGAATGTCTCCAAAACAGAAATAAAAATAAAGTGGATCTTTATAGAGGACTAATATTTAAAAAGTGGTTCTAAAATCAACCGAGATTTGACCGAACAAACAAGTAAAGCGTTAAGTTTGCATGAAATCACAGAGAGGTAAAAGTTCAGAGCATAGAGAAGAGTACAACATCAACATCAGCATCAGCATCGCTGTATATATACGATGATGCATATTCTCGAGTGCATTCGAGAATTGCGTTTCTTCATTGTTATATGCATGTGAAGGGCCGGATGAAATGCTGGTCTCTCTCTGTGTGGGAATACTAATCAAATCCGATTTGTTTGAACGGGCAAAACGTAAAAAGGTTTTTATAATGAAGTGCTTTCTACACGTCCTGTCGGATTTTTGTTCGGCTCTTAGTTATTTTATGGAATATGGCATACAAGTCGCTAGCACCGTTAATCCAATCATCTGTTCAAATTTTGTTATTGTAAACGTTCATTTCATAAAAGCCATTTAGGTGTTTTTATCTTTTTTTAGAAGAAAAACAAATTCGAAACATCGCTTTGTGCCCCGAAACTGTATTGACGTTTTTATTCAATAAAAATCCTGAAATAAAAATGCGGCAGTTACAACATACCGGACATATATTGCGTTCGAAGCTCAAGTTAAGGCCAAAGCAATGCTACAGGGGTGGTCAAATTTGATTAAAAAACATTGTAACGAAGCAAAGCTATGTTTTCAACGTTACAAATAGGGACGAATAAATATGGGCAAGGAACGGACATCAAATAATTAATAAAGAGTAACTCAATCTTTTAGAATTGAATTACAGTTATTTTTTCTAATTTTCTCATATTTAAGAGTTTAATAATAAAATGATGACAACAATGTAATTTCTTGAACTAATAACTAAACTCATCGATTAGTGGTCAATCAACCATAGCATACATTTTTATTATTTCACTTTTTTGTCTTATGTTTTAAATTGTATGTACTAATAAAATACCCCATTAAGGTAATTTTAGTATTTCTATTTTAATTTTTTTCACGCGAAAACTTAAATAATGAGATAAGTTAACGCAGCTAAGATATCGCAGATCCCACATTTAGCTGTCTATATAGGAGATTTTAACAGTCATCACAAAAAGTGAAATAGGGTAGGTGCCCTTAGTAGTCGGCACGGGCCTAGTATTTGGCACACGAATATTATTTTTCCTGTTTTATAAGAAAAGAAAGAATCCGTGAATACTAATCAGTACGCTATTTTATAGATAGCGCATTCGTTAGTTTGCGATTGTTGACACCACCGTACAAGGTAAGTTTCTTAACAATTTTCTTAAGAATGCAGTTGGTTTTATGATTTGCTTTTATTAACCGCTGTCCATTATAAGTGTAATATCTGCAAGTATACCTTGGTAATAAAATACAAAATACTGTAAATCCACTAGTAATAAAATACGGGAAGAAATACATAGACACTTGAGTAACAGAACAGTACAATCGACACAAACTCCCGAGGAAGAATGGCACTATATTGAGAAAACACTTACAAGAGTAACAGAAGACTACCTC